CTGTATTTACAGCCACGGGAACTTCGTGATTCAACGAAAAAGGAAAGCCGAATGCAGCCACGAGTGGTGAACTAAAGGTGTAGTACTTGAGCCTGAAAAATATTGCTTCGGTTCAGAAGAGGGTAGAGATTTGGGAGGAGAGCGCAGAGGATAAGAGTCTGTCTTATCACGACATCACTCGAAAGATGTAGCACTTGTTGAAATTCAAGCTTCGTAAGATGACAAACCAGCGTCGAAATCTTTTGTCTGACTGTGTATTAAACTGTCGCCTGCCGATGTCCAAAGCCGACAATTTGACAAATATGAGCACAATCTGTCGCTGACATGGAGTGCGGTAACTCACAGGAGTGCGGAGGGGTCTTAACCGGCGACGTTTGGATACTTGCATATTCTTGAAATGCGATCAGGCCGGTGGCTATGGGTCATTTGCAAAACAAATTTAAATATGTTAAATCACCCGTTTATTAGTCGAAAACGTGTCGTGCTGTTTCTATGAGTGACAACAGATCATTTCATGAGCACAAATGTGACCGAAGACTACAAGGTCAACTCAATGAGCTAAAAGCAACACATTATTGGTTTAACAGAAGTCGAACCTAAGGACAAATCGCTCAAGATATGGTGGTAATAGTGGTGGTGGTGGCGGCGATGCGGGTGTCTCGGACCGATACAACACGACAACCTCCCTTAGTCGAAACTAACTTTCGCCTCAGCATAATCCTGGCGTCGTCAACTACCAATTGACTGCCATCACTTTGCCATACCGTCGGGCCACGCCTCCTCCCTCCTCTTCGTCTGCATAGAGTCCGAGAATTAGGGAGTGATCTTCCATGCGAGGCAATTTGAATCAGGCCTTCGATGACTACTAGACACAGCTAGTTGTCAAGGAGCGCACGTAGGGCGTCGAATGCGTCGTAAAATTAGTCTGAATTGTATTATGAAAATGATGAATTGGCGTTAATGCACCCGTCTGTATGTATAATTGCATTTATCCTTCAAGTACAATGCAAACTCTTTCGTATTTTCATTGCGGTGCCTCCATCTCCCATGCTGACCTCTAATGCAAGGATACATCCATCGAATTGCAAACGACAACAAATGCAAAGAGTAGGTATTCTATGCAGTCGTCGTCGTCGTCGTGATGGCCATATAAAGGCAGCTTGAAGGCTTAAGTGAATGTGTGGTAACATGCTTTGCTAATGTGGGAGGGTGTTGAGACGACATATACCACTAACTAACCAAGAGGGATGAAGTTTGCGGAAGGACAGAGAGTCAAGCGTTTATTCGAGAACTCGACGAAGCCGTGGTGGTGCGTGGGATTAGCGCGTGTGTATGTATTCAGCTCGGATGTGTGAGTCATAACTGCGTGAAAATTGAGACCAAGTTACGAGGATAATGCCAGATGGATATTCGTGGGAATAAAGTGGGAGTTGGGGTTCAGGCGGCTGGTGCTATGCTGAGAAAAAGGGGAACCCTGCGTCGAAGGCGGAGCAAGGATTTGGGTGATTTGGAGGCGAAGGAAGAAGTGGAGCAGACTGATGCGATGGACGAGAGCCGGCATTGGTGCATGGACCAGTCTGGTGACGCGTTTGTTGCCTGAGGATGTGGCCTTTGTCACCTGTCATCGTGGATTTCGAATTAAGGTCTGGCGGTTGCCTTGCTGACGACTGCGGTTGTGTATCGGGGTAAGGACCTCCGATTCGGCAGCACCTACTGTCTCAGACTGTTTCGAAGAAATTTCCGAGGTGATTACTTTTCGAATGCTAGAAACCACTTACGTCGAAATGGCAAACTCCGTTGACCATCTGACTAAGAGACAATGACCAATCAAACACATTGTGCTAATAAATGCGCATTAGTGTTTTGATATCCTAAACAACCGGTGCTATAATTCAATTAGAGCAGGAAATTAGAGAAATATTGACTACATGATAAGGAATTCAAATACCTTAGGTAATCTCAGCACATCTACCACCACCGCCACCAGCAGTGCTGGAGGTGCTGGTGTCGCCACGGTTTTGTGTATGGTCGGAGAGCAAGAATTCGTCGCGGAAGGTCTTGGCATCGGAGATTAACTCGATTGGCGTGAACGAGTTCTGCACATAAGTCGGGGCGTTCGATGGAATGCGATTGATTCACTGCTCCACCCATTGCATTCGAATCTGGCGCGGCAAAATCAACAACCACTTAGGTGTGCAGGCACACACACACACATACACTCCAAAACACATAAAAAACACAGTTGTTCATTAGGTTGTGTGACTCTGTACAAATCAACCAAGCTAGAGTGTGCACTTCTACATTATTGAAAGTAACATGCAGTTTATCTCATCATCGATATAACCTGGGTGAAAATGCAAATAGAAAAATATATTTATGGTGTACATAAAACACGCCACTTAGCAAACCACACAACTCACATAAGCAAACTGACACTGTTTAGAAGATGGAAGTGTGCATGCCATGTGAGTCATCAGCGGCACTGCGAGTCATCCAGCAGGAGTTGCGCACTCGTCCACACAAATCGTCAACTTCAGTCGCGCAAACCGACGAACCACCAACACAACTACTCACTCAGGCCGATTACGAAGATGTAACAAATCCATCTCAAAGAAGACCACCGTCTCGAAAACTAGGTGCTGTCGCACGGGCGGTCCTCACCGATACAATGGAGCCTTCGCCAGCAAAACAACAGCTAGACCATAATCCGCATTCCACGATGACCGGTCACGAAGGCAACAACCTCAACCAACAAATTCATCACCAGGCTGGTTCAAGCACTAATGTCAGCAATCCGCCGCCTTCACCGCCACTACAGCCTACTTTCTACTACTACCACTACGACTACTTGTCCAGTGCATCAACCACGATATCAACAATTTGAGAGGACTCGTGCGTCTGCGCTGGATCTACCACGCAGTTGACCACCTTGCTGGATTTACGACTGGCTGGATGTACGAGGCATGCCGAACGCTTCGCCACGCGTCGATGCCAGAGACTAAGCCACGTAGCTTTAATCTCTAATTTATTTCATTCCTTTCCAATATCAGTCAAACTTAGACGCTGTCGAAATTGTGCATGTACGACGTGAAATTCCACAGTTCCTTTTCCCTGAAAATTAGATATTGCAAGTTACTGAAGACAAATTTGCACTACTTGTTGGCGACTGCAGTACAGAACATTTACGCAGGTAGATAATTCAGAGTAGGTCCAGTATTTTCAATGTTGTCTGCGATTATTGTTGGTATCATATCCGTTTTGTTTCCATTCTGATGACATCAAGACTTCGTCATTTCCTCATTCAAATTAACCATCATCTCTTTACTAAGCCTATTAATAACGCCATCCATTTTGAAGCGCATAGATGTAAATATAAAAATACGATTTATTGACTAAAATGGGAAATGTTCGAAAATGCAGAATGCATAAAATATGTGTACATGAAGCAAAGATAGGTAAGCCATTCCTGTACGAGTTATTGCTCTTTTGGTCCTCAAGTGGGAGGCGTCGTCATTAATTTCTTTTGTATCCTTCGTCTTCAAATCCGATTACCTTCCACAGACTTTATCTAATTTCTGTTAAACGCCTAGAAATGCATGCATATTGGTTTCTATAAATTCTGCCAAAGAGTTCTACAAAATTAATTGAAATTCTTCATTATATTGATTTGCAAGCACGTGCGCTTCGGGTGACAGCATACTAAAATCCGTCAATGAGTCGGACTGCTCGCTGTTGTTGCCAGCTCTCGAGCTCTGGCCTGGAAGACTGTTTTGACTTCACTCTCTTGACCATCCATTCTGATATTAAGAGTAAGAAAACCATAATATTGATCACTGTTGTTGCCCGGCATCGACTGCTGTCCATAAAGTCTGTTTAATCTCCACTCTCCTGACCACCCATTTTTTAAATTGACAGTTAGAAGAGCCCTGAAACAGAACCCCAGGCAGCACACCTGCCCATTGGTCTGCCTTCACACTTTTGGTTTGTGATGCAAATCACGCGTATGTACTCATCTGGACTGACAAGTATACTGGAAAAACACGTTAACTAGCGCAGTCATGCAGACGTTTAGCCAAGTCGTGGCATGTTGGCGGTTGGCATGCCCCACATCCACACTGTGTTTGCATTTCTTGGTGAAACATCCTCAAAGTGACTGAGTTGGTGCAGTCGCTTACTTGTAGACATTCATATCACCATAGATGCTGACCTGTAGGCCTACAGCAGATATACGAATAACATATTTTATGCATCTTGTGAACACTAGCACCGTGAGAGTCACAACATGGCTGGTAAGTCATTTGCCTCAATGTTAAAGCCATGCAATAAACAGAGCCATGTAGCAATATCCCCCACCTCCATCAATACTTGCCATTACAGGGAGTCGATTTATAATCGGTTGCTGGAAAGAGAGAAGCATGTTTATTGGAAGCTGGAGCGGTGGTGATAAGAAGGTTCATAAGTAACCACTGATAACTAGCAAGATAATATATTTCTGCTACAGGCGGGAATGCTAAGGTCCTTAGATGCAATACCGCTGCAATATCGGAGTGAGATGGTACGTTTTCCACTTTAATAAGACCAACTCTGTTGGATAAGTGTCTGCAATTTCCTCCTGGAATAAACTTGTCCAAATATTAAAAAGATTCCGTCACAACATGTAAATCTGTTGCCATTCAAATCCTGCAAAAACGACATTGTGCAGCGATTTTGTTTATTTTTTTCACACTATTGGCCTTAATTGCAACAGGCGTACTTGAGATCTGAGGTTTGAATGGACGCATTATGGCTTGCAATACAAAAGCCTGATCAATGTCAGTGATATTTAAAGGCGCTGAATTAGTCCATCCTGGGTGTGCTTGATTGAAATCGCCTCTTTTGTTGGAACGATCACATGCCTTTGGCGTTACTCTACCTATCAACCCTTGCATGACTGACAACTAAGGGTCTTTTTTGCTTCACATCACAAATTCGCCTGCTCCCGTGCTTAGACAAAGTAACATCGCCAACAAAACAACAGACATTTGAAATTCGAGCAGTATAAAATGAAATGCCAATGTGTTAAGATAAGATTAAAATTACGTTCATAGCATATCATACGGAATTCGAGACCTGATGGAACGGTATGCAGTAGAGGGGTTGTCTTGTTGTTCGTGCTATGTGGACAGTAGAGAAGATTCTTGGACCGCCCTACACTCGAAATGGTAATTGTTACCACACATTAAAATTTCTGCTTGAACTCTGCGAACAATTAGATCGTGGATGTAAAAAGCGGATATGACATAGTTGTGGAACAAGTTGTGCATTTTCCCCATCGAAACATATTTCATGTTGTTTTCAACATGAACCAGGAATCCAGCTAAGTGAAAACCAAATTACTAGAACAGATTTATTTGATTTAAAAAAACACTAAACTGACTTCAAACAAATCGGCTTTTGACACCACTCGTAAGGTTAAACATTGCAAACGGAGTATAACGAATGTCTAAAAAATTAACAAGATTAGACACTTCAAGTTGGCAATGCCGCGTACATTCCAGTGACAAGACTAACGAATTAAACGCAATTCCTCACAACAACCTGTCTGAATTCGCAGGCGTCAAGGTTTGTGCAGTTGACCGGCAGTTGGACACGCAGTATGCCAATGGTTTCTTAGTTACCTTAGACGAATATATGATCGACATTAACTACAGCTAGAAATATTACTCAACAGTATGAGCCAATCACAATATCAACACCTTGACCAGTTCTGTTTCTCGTCTAGTTGGATTAATACACACAAATATCAATGTTCGGTCATCTGTACAATAAGTACTTTTCACATGATTGCAAACGAGAGTATTAAAAAAAATTGCGTTATGCTAAATACAAACAGGCATGCAAAAGAGGCCAGCCGAATCTTCACTTTTTGTTAATTAGTCTTGCCAAAAGACATGCTGACTGGCATGTGTGTTACATAAATCAAATAAACTAATCACATTAGCACACATGCAGAATCAAAAGAATTTACCCGAGGTGCAACCCACCTTGCGGGATAGCAACCTTCCGCTGCTCCACCTGTCTCGTCGTGCGGCCAGTTCGTAAAGTTAACAAGTCAACAAGTTGACCTAATGAAATGAGATGAAGCATTAAAACAACGTCGAGGCGTGACACCACCACTAAAGGTACTTAACTATTATATTGCTAAATAACACGTAAGGGCAAATTAAAAACAAATTTTAGTATACATTTTAATAGTAAGGTCTTATGAAGGTAATTCGAGTAAATTCGGTTGTTGCCCAGGTTCACCAACGTCGATTGAGAGAGACCAAATTACAGTCAACAACAAATGAAATAACCAACAGTCAGCACCATGCTAATTTTTAGTCATGTCTTATATATATATATATATATTGCGGTATTATGGCTGCGTGTTCAGTCCTGTTCGCAATATCGAGATAACAATATAGTAGGGGCTTGGCTAAAAGTAATCTTGGCAACCCTGAATCACCCGACGTCAACAGCATTTGCTTTAGCAAAAACAACATAAGAATTAGTGCAAAATATTACTCGGCCAATGACCTATCATACTGTTTGTAATGCATGCATATACTAAATAATCTGGATGCAAACACTACCAATGTAATCGACCCAAGATGCAAACTAGGGTCCAAATTGTGCTAAAAGCCATGTCTGTGGCAGGTTAAATAAGGTTGAAAATAGTTTAAATACAAGAAAAGAAGTTTTGTTCAAAAACCAAGTGGCAAAATATATTGACACAACCGCTTTGCGTTAAATCTATTGTGGATGATTACAGAAGAACATTTTTGTCAACTTTTTTTTCAACTTTTTTCATTTAGTGGAATTTGAAGGTACTTTTTTGACTTCTTCTAGTACAATCTTTATGCAATTTTGCATGGTAAATTTTGAAATATCCGGCTAATATCACCAAGCCTCTTTTATGCACTCTTCCGAACATTTGGCTTGTGCATATGTAAAATCAGTTTTTTTCCATAAGATCCCGGTAATAATAAACACGAAATGACATCAGAAAAATTTTGCTTTTCAGCAAAGAGAATGTTAATGAAGGTCTGGGAATCTAGCTGATAGATCTTGCTTCACACATGTGATTTTACAAGACGGTTAAACAGCAATTTAAGCCAATTGGAGCAACATTTAAGACAGGGGGTCACGAATAACCACATATTGATGAATGGAATTTTAGGATGCCAAACTTGATGCTTTGCAGACATCTCTCTGCTGGCTGTGAAAGTTTCGTTGTTATAAACACAAAATTGAGGAACTAATTATGTGGGGCAAGCAAGAGAAGTTCAGTCACCAATCAAACACAGTTAACGTTTCAGTTTAACGCATTTTGCACAAGGTCATCTGACCATCAAAATTTCTTAAATATAGGTTCATGTTGACGAAACCTATCAATCATGAACAAATACGCCTAAATCTTATTTATTTTGACGAATGAATACGTCTTTACGTCATTTAAACATAGCAGTAATGATAGGCACGGAGCACCAAGGCTTCTACCTTGATGTCGTCTACATTTTGCTAATTATTGATTCGTCTGGAACCAAGTTAGCACCTACAAAGCAGATTTCGGTGAAGTGGATGAGATTGATTAACATACGGCGGGGTTGAATTAGGTTCTAGACGCACAATTTTCATGATTCGTTCATCCTGCGTAGCATGTCGACAATATTGTGAGCTATAGTTAGTCGTCTGGTTTGCAAAGTACAATGTTCCAAACTCAATTTATAAGCATATTCGATAATCTGACGCTGTGTTAGTTTCCTATGTGTATAGATGCTTTTGTCTCAGACAAATCTGGAATTTATAACATTGTCTGTTCGTCTAAGAGAACCGACATTATCGCCATAATTGCAACTAAGA